GTTTTCCTAAATGGTTACATGATTACGAGTTTTGGACAATGAGTCGGGGTCCTAAAATACAAGTGCGTCGTTTTTTTCAATTGCGTTTTTGGTTAAAAAGTTGGTTAGTATTTAAACGAGAGACTGATAGCGAATGTATTTTTGACGAGAACGAACAATATGTAATCGAGGAAATTCTTCAAGCGGACGACAGCAGTTTGACGGTCATGGAGATGGTACGTTTTATTTTAAAGAGGACACATGTTTTAATTTCTCCTCAGTTTGTAACACTTGCGAGACGGGCACGAGCAGCTAAATCAAAAAGTTTATCGTTTACAAATATAATTTCGGGCTCAGAGTCAACATATGTGTTTGATGGGGTGATAGACAATATGTGAAAAGAGAAAAGACAAAATACTTACATTTGTGATTTTAATATTACCATCTGTGGGTACAATACCCATTTCAACGGGTTCGTTGACACAAGATGTAAAGAAAACTAAATAGCCTCGCGGTAGTAAAGATATGCGATGCGTATAAGGAACGGCCATAATTTTACACGGATTTTCTCCGCGAACACGTAGATAGATGAACTTTAACTTTTGATCAAATACATTTAAAGGACCGGGCGTTGTTGTCATTTATAGAACGGCCATTTTTATAACACTGAAAAAATATGTTTGTAGACAAGTCTTTATATAGACAGAGCGGAAGTGTAAAATATTTGTTATGTTAAACAATTTTTAATATGATGTTGCCAATGTTTTTGAAGACTACATTTGTGAAAATCATCTGTATTACATATTCTACAATAGATTGTATTATATAAAATTAATATTTTTTCATTATTTTGTTCTTTATATTCTTTTTGTTCTTGATCATTTAATGTGATTATATAAGGTACTACTTCTTGATTAACATTGCATCGTGTACAAAATACTTCACGATGTGTCTTAAGATAAATTTCTTGTATACATAAACGTGTAAGTTTATTCATATTATAGGTATGGGTTTATTATCTAATATTTTTAAAAGTTCGATGTCTTTGTCTTTTGCTCGTCGTTGTAATAAATCTTCGAGGGTAATTTTTTCTATAAGTTCATAGATCCAACGTCGTCTGTTTGCATTGATCTAAAAGAAATAAGTGAATTTAGTATTTTTGCTGGAAAAAAAAATTATTTATTGGCTTTTACCGTTTGGACGCAAATAAATTCTCCAGGGTTGAATTTCGTCACTTGAACTGATTCTCGAAGGCTACATACAGTGAAACGTATCATCGGGTTTTCATAATGTGAGACATCGTGCTGCATAGACGGTACCAGTATAATATTATAAGAACGATGTGTATTGTTATAATAATATAAATATTTTTTTCCGTCGAAAACATTTACGTGTTCCATTTTGTTTTTTGCATAAAGCTGGTCAGTGAATTATATAGGGTGGGTATTTAGTCTTTGTATAGCAAACAAGTCGATTACCATATATGGTAGTAGATTTACCTTTATGCACTTGAGACGACTTTGAAAATTAATCGTTCTTCACTATTTCCATCGCGATATTTTGCATATTCATGATAATAAACTTCTTTCGTTATTTTTTCCATGAATCCATAGACATTACCCCGTAGAGTTATTTTGAATTAATCGTTCTTCACTATTTCCATCGCGATATTTTGCATATTCATGATAATAAACTTCTTTCGTTATTTTTTCCATGAATCCATAGACATTGCCCCGTAGAGTTATTTTGATATGTCCATTTTTTCCCAGAATACCCAACGGTTTAAATTCTGTAGAGGTGTACGCCGCAAAACTGAGGTCAATTTTATGCGTTAAGCTTTCATGATGAATTGAGTTAGGACCTCCTGCGAAAATGGGTATATTACAATTGCTGACATTTTCAAGATAAATAGCATCACACACTGCACTATTGAAATTCATGATCTGTCCTCGTGAAAGAGTATTTAAGAAGTGAGTGATAATATATATTTTTCATTTTTATATAGCATGCGGAAATGAGTAAATATATCCAAATAATTTGTATAATAATTTCGATATCTTTATTGTATATTATTTTTTTAAGCGTGTTGTATAAATTTTTGTTAAATGGCAACTTCGAATGCCCCACCTACTCGAGCATATGACGAAAAAGATGAAGACTGGTCTATACAAGCCGTGTGTGGTGATGACGTTTGCGATGACATTTCTCCTCCAGAAGGTTGGACGGGTAGTTGTGAAGACCAAACGGAGTTATTCACAGAGATTTTAGCGTATCTTATCGATCGTGAAATTTGCAAACAAACTCGAGGTTGTCGTAGTGTGGAATATTACAAGAAAGTGGTCCCGGATTTCATAAAATTGGGATATTATACTCATGCGTGTCGTGAGTTTCACGATTTTTTAGCTCTTTGGGAAGTTGAATACAAAGTTGAAACGGGTATTGAAGAGCGCGAGACAAGATATGATCCTGATTTACCCACACGGTTGTATTGTTGTCGTATGTTAGCTATTCGTCCTGACAGTAAACAAAAGAAGTACGCTGAAGTATACGAACAATTACGAAATAAAGAATGGGAACTTTAAATGCACCAGTTGAAGATATATTGTTTTATACAATTGCAAGTTTATATGTAAAACAAAAATTAGGTCTAGCGAACGATGTAGACATGGATACGTGGCAAAGTGTGGTCCCACACGCGTTGTTGGAACATTGGCCTGCGATACATGAATTTTATTTTTTAATAACTGGTTCACATTATGAGTTTGATTTAGAAGACGAGGGAGACGATTTAGCACATACTAGTTCTGCTATGTATGTATGCTTGACTGATTATGGAGATATTTTGAGTGTTTAGAAAATATAATTCATTGTATTCAATAAAATTTTATTTACATGGTTTCTTTAGATGCAAATACGTGTTCATCTTGATTATCATTACATATTTTTAAAACTATCTGTTTTTGAGTTTTATATCTTTCAGCATGTTCGAGCGTCATTTTTTGTCCATTTATTTCTGTTACTAAACTTTTAACTGCGTCCCTGTATTCTTTTGATAAAAATATATGTTTATATGTTTCTCGTATAGATTCAGGGGAGACATAATTATTGCGCGTATCAAAAAACATTCGGCAAGCCGATTGATAGTCCCTGGACATTTGGCAATTCGATTGTGGGGCGTGACATGGGTTTTTTATCTCTTCTTCTTTCTCTAGCGTATTGTCGTCGTTCTCGTTCTCTTTGTCTTCGCTCTCGTCGTTCTTGTCTTCGCTGTCGACATTTTTCTTCTGCTCGTTCTTTTTCTTTTCTAAATAATCATTTTCCATTTTAATACGTAACGTTTCAAGGGCATGCATCATTTCAGGGGAATCAAATGCATTTTCAAGTCTTTCGTCTAAAAGAGTTAAAGTATTATCCGATTGTTCATCGTACCTTCGTAAATAAGTGTTTACCCCCATTAGCAGAGGGTATTTGCGTCGAGCATAATCATATTTTACACGAGGTGTGGTTGCATATTTAGCTTGAAGTTGCCAGGCTCCAGGGGGAATCGCTGTTTTTGCGGACGATTCGGATACAGCGTTCGTTTCCACAGTCGCATTGTTCTGAGGTGACGCGCATGTGTGTGTAACAATAGTACTTGGATTCGTGGCCATCGTTGTCTTGTATGTTTTTTGCAGGAATAAATTTAATGGGTTTGGGTATGTAAGGTGCGGGTCGTCGTTTTTTTGAGGGTTTTTTTACGGGTAAACTTGATGCGGGTGGTTGAGGTGGCGGGGCTTCTTCCGTACGTTCTTGTTCGGCTTCTTCTGTTTTTTTTACGATTGTAAAATATAACATACGACTAATACTTGCGGCCATACATTTATTACAACCCTTCGTATTGCAAGGATTCACTGGTAAAGGTGCTTCTGTTCTACACTCGCTCATCTTGACGTAAAAGATTTTTTGAAACATGGGCTCTAAATATTATGCGAATTTAGCTGACGATAGTAAGTTTTAGAAATAAAAAAAGGTATTATTTAATATTCAATCGAGTTGTAAAAAAGTATATATTTTTGCATTTAGTTGGCGAAATGTTTGAAAAATCGTGTTCATTAAAAAAAACGCTGCCATGCGCGTGTGGTACTTGCGAGAAACGATGTTGGGAATCGAAAAGCTGGCTTTGTCGTGTGATTGAATGTTTTTGCGAGGAACGTGTAGAAGTTTGCGTGGAACGTGTATCGGATAAATCAAACGAGTTTCGTGTGGATTACGTGTGTGCAGACCGATCTTGTGGATTTAAAATAAACGCATTTGATGAAAATTTTTTAATTTACACACGAGTTGTACAGAATGTAATATGTGTACGTGTAAACAACTTGTTCGTGCTGTAGTAGAACGGGTAACGGTGGGTTGTGGTGTAACGGACCCCACAAAAGAAAAATCAATTGATTTAAATAATGAATATCAATTGTTGTTTGTTTGTGATAAGAAAAAATGTGATTATCGTCAATCTTTACCCCAAATTATTCGAGCACGAGGCGAAAAAATAAGATGTCTTTGTGGTGGGGAAGCACATTACGATGCAGAAAAAAAAACATTGTCGTGTGCTCGTACAACAAAATGTGGGGTTTGTTTTCACGAAATGGATTCGTTGACGTACATTCATGTAGAGCAGGCAAAAAACGGTTTGGAAGATCATGCATGGGTAACTATCAGACGTCGTGCGCCTGATATATGTGGAAAACAGAGTATATTAAAATACCGTATCGATGACAATTTGCATGGTGAACTATTATATGAATGTAATATAAATAATACGTGTAGAAAAACTGAACGCGATATTTATGTACCAATGATGTATTAAATTTTTTTAAAACAATTTACAAGTTTCTTTATTCTATTACAATATTTTTAGTATTTGTAAAACTACTACCTTCCAAATATTTTTAGTAACTGTAAACTACCGCCTTGTTGTTTTTTTCCTACAAATCCTCCTCGTTGTTTTAATCGTCCTCCGCGTTGCCCACCCATCCCCAGCATACCCAACAGTAAGGGTAAAAATCCGCCTTGTTGTTTTTTTCCCGCACCCCGTTGACGATAATTACGAAAAGTAGCACCGGGACTTAATCCCATTGGTCGTCTCGACCATTCTCCTTGTACAATACCGCCTACGCAAGATAATAGTTTTAGCGTATTTTTCCGACCCTTTGAACCCAAGACATTCTTTTATGTATTTGACCACCTATCGCCCACCTGTTTGATTATAGGGGTCACTGAAACCATAGTTTACGGAATCGGTTAAAAACCCACCTTTTTGCTTAGTTTTTTGTTTTTTTGAACGTTGATACTTTTTCCCCTTAAAACTACCCCCATTTTGTTTACTTCGACGTTGTTTAACCATGGCTACGCAACAGGGAAATGTGTTACCGGTAAAAAAAAAAATTATATATATGTTAACATACACGATGCACTATTTGATAAATTTTATCGCGTAAAATGTTTATGTGGTTATAAATTTGAAATTCAAATTGCTGTCACGTCGGTGACTGTACCGTACGAGAAAGATTTAACATTATTTCACGAGAGCAGTGATAACGCTAGTTTTTTACTTAAGCGAGGTGTCGAAAAGAAGCTTATGATATATTTGGATTCAAATACACATGTGAGAACAACTTTTCCTTGCTGGCAGTGTCGTGAGACAATCTATTTACACGTTGTGCGTCAATGTTAGTTTTATTTGAGGAATGTTTGTACAACGACAGTGTTGTGTTTGAATCTTATTGTGGTTCGATTGATTCACAGGGTTCGTTTGTATTTTCAGTACTTTATCGAGGATTTGTATTTAACGCTCATGTTTATATTGATAGTTATCTGACACACGTAGATTTACATCGTGTATCGGGAAATAATACGTACACGGACGCGTTGGGGGATTACGTGGATACTGTTGTGGACGCTTTCTGGCTATATTGTTATAACGAAGTAGACGTACGTGCTATATTTGATTCCGAAGAGACAATTCGACGGAAATTATTTTTAAAACATCGCATTTATTTAAGCGATATTCGAATCTGGCGTGGAATGTTCTCGACAGCTCGGCGCAATGCTAATGCTTTTGGATGAGAAGCGAGTTATATCAAAACCTTATAGTAGACAAATAGTATTAATCCACGAGGAAAAAATTATTACTTTGACTAAATACTTAGATTTACACTGTTATAAGACTATTACAGACTACATGTATTTTTTTTGTTTTCTACTAGCTGATAAATTTAAAACTTTATTGTATGTAAACAATAGTTATTTTAAATGTTTTATTGAACATCTAGATGATAAACGTGTAGTGATTCTCGAACATAATGCACCTGATTTTGCAGAAACATTTATAGATTTGTGTAATAATAATACATTTGTAAATGTACGTAGTGCTATGTGTAGTATTTATGGTATATATCTTTTAAAGGACTATTATTTTTCATTCACAGAAACGTTGACTTTTATGCGTCTATTAAATAAATATGAAGAACTTCCCTTGACAATAGTACGTAGTCGTAATCCTGAAGCCTTTGCTATAAGATTATTATAATGACTGCTATGTTATATATCAAAAATCGAAATAAAAATTATACGTTTATGTATCAAGAAATGTTATATGAATGTCATGAATATTGGTGTGTTGAACGCGTCGGTACAGACATGGGTACAGATTTTATTTTATGGATATATCAACGAAATAAAAAATTTCATATAAGAATGCATATTCATACGAGTAAAATATACAACGCATTGCATCAACTACTCGGATATAGTTTTTACGTAGCAACACGACGCGAGTATCAATATATTTTGTATACATTATATGCTCATTGTAAGCAGAATAAAGATATGCGTTTTGTTTTGTACAAGGATATGATTCAAAAACATTTTTTACGCGAGGGTGTTTATTTGGATAAGTCTGTTTTTCAATTAATTATTTTTCTTCATTCGTGCAAGACGTATTGGGAGTACGACCGTCAATCCCGTGGAAATTCGAATTGCGTGTTAGTATGACTTCTATGGTTTTGTATCAAGAATCTTTGTATCCGTGTAATCAATCTTGGTTTGTCGAGCGTCAAGGTGATGATTTTGTATTAAGTATATACTGGGAAAACAAGAAGTTTCGAACAACAATATATACAATGTCTAAAAACCGTACTCTTTTTGACGTATACACAAATTATGATCATCGTCGACCTTTTTTTTTACTACATGAATATTGCGAACATCATAAGCATATATCTTTTATTGTGTTTAAGGAAAAGATTCGAGAACGTTTTTTACGTGGGGGTATATATTTGCATGTATCTGCTTTTCAATTAGTTATTTTTTTACACACGTTTACGATACGTTGGAGCTATTCTATGTCTGTTAAGTCGAATATATGGCAACCTACGTTGCACCGATAATTTATAGTGACAAATGGTATGGACACTATAAGTTTGGTAGTGATGAAGAACTAAAACAATTTACACATTTAATAGATGATGTTGTGGGCGAATATGTTTATTGTCGGGCTCGACACATAATATTTCCCAATAATGAGAAAACAGACCTTGTAGATGTCATGTATCAAGTAATGGACCCCGTGTGGTTAAGTAAAGGTCTGGGTCAACGATTGTGGGCGTTGGGAATTGCTCGATTAATTTGTCAAACATATGGTGGGATGACTTTTTCTACAATAAATCGTAGATATGAATATTTGGAAAAAATGTACGACAATGTGCGAGAAGTAGATTTACTTTTAAAAAAGACAAAAGCTAAAAAAAATATCGTGTTGGCTCTTGGGGGTTTCTTGGGTGTTTACACATTGTATAAATTGACGGATTTTTCAGTTTCAATTATTAGTGAGCTGTTGCACTAGACGACATCATGTCTTCTACGGTGAATTATAGTGTGTACGGAAAACGTTATGCAAACGCTCAACATTTATTCGAGACTTATGCAAATAAAACTAGTAAAGTTGGGTGGTATGAGAAATTCGACAAGAAAGTTCACCTTGCATCAGGAGTACTCGCGAGAGGGGGCGAAACAAAATTTTTATATAAAACATGTATTGGTATCACGACCGACGAACTGCTCGAGGTAGCCTCGTGTTTAAAGAAAGCAGCGCATACACCAGGAGCAAGCAACGAATTCTGTATTTCAGAAGGCACCGATTACAAAGGTGACTCAACCAAGTTGGTTCTTCGCGATAGCGACTATCAAGGTTTAGTATTATTGCGTCTAAACGCAAAGAAAGCAGATATTGTGGTTGATGAGGATTCAGACGAAGATCCTGATCCAGAACCCGTCCCCGTCAGCGGTGGTGGTGAAGATGAAAATTTTGAAGATGTTGTGGAATGGTCTGAATGTTTCGAGAAGTTTTACATCTCAAAACGTGATGACTGGAAGAAATTCAATAAAGTTATGTTGGCCATTCACAACGATGTTACACATCTCAACGATGTCGATCTTGAATCAGTGATTCCTCCTGCTGGTGAACCTCCTCAGATGCAGAAGCAGATCGTGGGCCCCTCTACACCCTCTACAACAACCAAAGGTGGTGGAAAACGTGGTGCAGGTGGTAGCGGTGGTGGTGCACGCAAGAAATCTCGTCCGACCAATGCAGAATTATTTGACGGTGAACAACAGGTACGACCCTTACGACCCATTCCTCCTTTGCGTTCTCCCAGTTCTCCTCTGCGTTCTCGCAGTTTGGACAATTCAAAGACAAAATATAATAAAGCCCAAAAACATAGTACACAAGTAACATGGGCCGAACCTATATCAAAATTAATTAGAGATAAAAAACGTAGTCCAGCAGAAGTATCAGTTATGGTAAATAATCGACGTAGCATGAGTCTTTAGTGGGTAGTTATAATTTATATATTTTTTTTTAGAAATTACCGCCAAAAACGGCATTGGCAACTATTTTTCAATACATGCTCGAGGGTAGTACGCTAGAAGAGACCGTTCTTAAACATTTAGACGAATTAAATAGCGAAGCAAAATTTGATTATATGCAGTTAGCTCGAGATCAACCCCGCATATTGTATGCGATGTACGACGTGATTAAGGCTCAAGTCGGGGCTGACGAGTAAAAAAGATTTTATTTTTTCTCCACAGAACTAAAGATGTCAAGTAAAAACATTA